TTTTTGGACAAGGTCATCGGATGTCAGTTCCCATATCAAGATAGAGCTGGAATTAGGCGTAACAGCTTTTGTAAACAATGACTTCTCTCGATGATTTTTAGGAATTCAAGGCTTGCACCAACAATACAGTCGGGTAGAGGAAGTCTTACCCAACCTGATGTTGATTTGTGTGGGCGAGCCTTGACTTTCAAGACATCATCAAAAGAAGTCATTGTTTACAAAAGTTGTTACGCCCTAATTCCAGCTCTATCTTGATATGGGAACTGACATCCGATTGATGACCTTGACAAATGTCCAAAAAATACTCTTTTACAAATATATGGTGATCCTGAAAAGGACCGTTTTGTCGTGATGGTTGAGCAATGCTGAGCTATTAGGGTGTTAAACACATATGAGTCTGGTGAGCTGTCTGTTGTGGGGAATGAGAGTGACGTGCTTGGCCCACAGCAACTCATGAAGAGCAACTGATTCCGATCAATAGCGGTGCGGCTTTTTCCTTCTTCTATGGATGCTCATGTGGGCTGCAGCTCGATGCGTGGAAATATATCTGATCGATTGGTGATAACATTATTGAAATTGGTCCAGGGGAAGCTGAGTTATTGACGCCCAAAATCTTTCATAATTTTGTTACATGTTCCATTTTCGGTTTTCACAAAGTTTTGAAATCACAGGCGTAGTCCTACGTCAAAAACAGGGTGTCGACTACATGAAAAAACCTGGAAAATCAGGGATTGTAAGGGAATTTAATTCAAATTAAGGGAAATATTTCTTTATAACAGAAATTCATTGATAAGTATGGCTGACTTCGCTAGTTTCAAACAACTTAATTACTCGTTGTAGTTTGAGGATGGCTTTCAATTTCAAATTTTAAATAGAGTCGCGAAGTTGAGGTTGTTCAATGCTTGCATTTTTGCATGTGGAGCAAAAGTAACTCAAATAAAAGGGTATTTCGAATGAAGATGATTATATCATTATTGTTTTCCACTTCTGACATAGCGTTATCATTCGGTTCGTTGATCGCTTGTCATTTGGAGATATGTTTGATTCATTACTCTTAACTGAGTTGATCAATTGACTTGCCTTGTCTAAACCCAGTTTTAAGAGAAGATAATGATTTTTTTCTGAATACTTCTAGTTCTTGTTCCTTATTGTGTTCTTAAAAGCTTGATTAGCTCAGAGAACTAACTAAATGAGAATTTAGGATTATGGTCTTGCTTGGGAGGTTTTTTTTTATTGCTTGGAGTAGCACTTTTATGATTGAATAATGATTCAAAGATACGTAGACAAGCATTGCTTTGAAAACGTAGAGTGGCTTTTTTAAGTATTCTAGGTCTTCATTGAAAACCCGGTTAGCTCGTAAAATTAGCTTCACAGTAAAGTTTTAGTATGGTAATGTTGGTGCTATTGCAATTTAGATGGAATTCATTTAAAGAATTTTGGAGATGAAAGCGTTATTTTTACCATTTTCCACCGGAGGAGTTCACCCGCGAATTAGCTTTTGGTTAAACATATTATCCGGTATAATTTTCTAACGGAGCTGGGTCTCAAAATGTGCTCAAGGCAAAACAAATATAATGGGATTAAAAACAAATGCTTCATATGTGAAATGCAGAGTGACCAGTGAAAACCGGAAAAAGCTGGAATTTGAAGTCACCGGGAAAATCCCACGAATTTAGTAGACAAATCTGGAAAAATATAGCTCGTCCTCTCTTCGAAAACAATAAGATTTCAAGACCCTTTGACTGGTCTAGATTTTCAGGATAACTACAGTCACTTTGAAGAACTATTAAGAGAATTTTAGATTTTTTTTTCCAAAGCAAATTTGAGCAGATTTTAGAATGAATTCTAGAGATAACACCAAGGTATTTCAGAGAATATTTTCTAGGGAGCTTTAAGAAAACCTCTAGTAAAGGATTCCAGGATTCTTGAAAAATACAAAGGAAAGGGTACAATTCCACAATAATTATGCGAAGATCTGAAAGGATATCCGAGTATAATTCCAAGCGCATTTCGAAAGGAATTTTTAGAGCATGTTAATGAGAAATCCATGCAATTTTCAGAAGAATTTAGAGAAGAACTCCAAGATAATTCTGAGCAAAATTGGGAGACAATTCTCGGCGGGAGAATTTCGCCTGCCAGATGGTGTTGGCAGGGAAGGGGGATTACAAGTTTTGCTCACAAAATCTAATAGGCCCTTTTCAATTGTTGGTCTGAGGTGAATTCTACGGAGAATTTCATGCAAATATAAAAAAAATGAAGCTCCAGTGAATTTTTAGAAAGAGATTAAAATTCGAAGAAAGGATGAAATTTAAGATTTTTTTGGAGTGTTCTACAGAAAATTTCTGTACTATTATAAAAAAAATCAAGGGATTTCCAGAGAGAATTTCAAATTTATTTTAGAAGAATTCTGGAAAGATCTCTGTGAAAGGAAATTAATCTAAAGGAAAGGCTTGAGAACAATCAAATAAAAGCCTGTAAAGTTTTGAGCGAAATTTGCAAATTGTGAAGACTTCGAATCTGTCGCAGATCCAAATTCAAGATCCAGCAAAGGTACTGCTGTCTTAGAAATTACCCATTTAACCTTAAGCTTAATTGCATTCAGTTTTGTGCTTAATCAAAATACCTAAACCGCGCTAAATTCCAAAATTCCGGGAGAAAAACGGTAAAATTGCTAATCGACATTTTCTGGTCACCATGAAGAGGAAGGAGATTTGGACGAATGCGGATCCTTCCCGTTTTTAGCAACACGAGATTTCTGTCTGTTTTGCATTCTATAAAATGTATGGGCCGTGTGGTATTTCATCAAAAAATATCCATAAAGCACTAATATCTTCTGAGGAAAGTTATAGCGCACTGAACCTGGATTTTTTTTTGAAAATTACTGGAAAATCAGAGAATATCAGGGAATTTTGTTTTCTTTGTTGAGTCGACACCCTAAAAACGTTCTGGACACTAAAAATACTTGTTGCTCTTCGTCCAGCCATGACAGAATAGCGAGGAAAAGGCACCGCAAGGAGCGGCGAAAATCGACTTAAATAAAATATAGGGGAAATGGATGTAATGTCGGCCTAAATGCCCTTAATTTGGGCCCAAACATTAATTCAGCAATCGACTAATTTTTCAATAGCGACCAAAAATATCCATCAGTACCGTGCCAATGACGCGATCATCTAGATAAAATTGAGAAATAGCAGATTTTTAGCGATGGGCCCAATCTAAGATCCATAGGCCAACATTAGAGCCATTTCCCCTATATAATACTCCATAGAATTCCCCTACAATTGTCCTCAAAACTCATTGGGCATTCTCATGATAATTCTCTAGCCAATTCTTCAGTGTGTCAAAATCCAAAAAATTTTGTCCAAATCAAAGTGGTCTTTTTTAAACTGGGATCTTTAAAAAAAAAAATCTATTTTTGAAGTCAGAAATCCAGCAAATTTCAAGAATGTGAAAACTGGCCTGGCCTCAAATAATTGAAAATTTTCTCATGTAATCTTCAAAAAAATGTCTTAGCTCATGATTTCAAATATCATTCCGTGGATCTCATTGTTTTCTAAAAGAATTTCTATGTTCAGCCTATTAAGTTGGCCTAGTGCTCTTTGAATAATTTACATATAATTTAGATAAATTTCAAAATTCTGAAACAGTTAAAAACATTAAAAAAATTCGGGCTTCAAAAATATCTAATTTATGTAACCTAAGAGATTTCCTAAGTTCTGCAAATTTGCGTTAACATTTAAAGACTGCATGTTTTTTTGGGTTAAAGTTACCCATAACTTTTGAATTAAAAGTTATACTAAAATGCTTTGTTCAGCAAACACGTGCGCTATAATTTTCCCTACAACTCTTTTGAACATCGATTATTCGAGAAAAAAAAATTTTTTGGGCACCCTAATTTAAAGCAGAAAAAGTTAAAATTCCCAATTTAAGTTAAAATGAGGTCCACCCTAACTACCCTTTTTATATAAAAAAAGGCTCATTTAATCATAAACAACTTCTACGAAGACACTAAATGAATAGAAACGAAGTAAAACATTTTTTTCCCCGCCAAATTGCCGTTTCGGACCATAGTGCAATGATTCAAGGCATTATAAACATAAACAATTATCTCTCCACATACCGGTTCCGGACCGTCTGTCCATCTGCCACTCACTCTGAGGACGTTACGAAAACGAAACGAAAGCTCGCCATTAATTTTCATTAAAGTCAAATTTATTTCACCCCGAAAAAGTGTATTTTTGTGTCCGGCTTCTCGTTGCAATGAATGAAGCCGACAAGTTGTTTTTGTCCTTGCCCGACGACGCAAAAGGTGGATGTGAAGGGGGGGGGGCGGGGGATGTAGGGAAACACATTACCATCACCATTCCACCACCGATGTCCGGGGAGAGCGCAATGGAGTAAACTTTAATGACGATCGTTCACGGAATGGTTGTTTGTGATGATTTCGCTATTTACTGCCACCACTTCCATTAGAAATGACACGGAATGGGAATTGTTTTCGGCGAAACGACCCACCTTTCGGAATATCAAAGTGAAGCTCACGGTTATCAATCATTTATTGCATACATTTAGGGGGGGGGCTTTCGGAAATAAATCCCTTTTTGATTGACATCTCCGACGAGCAGAAAGCTCCACGGAGAACGCGTTCTACTGCTGGTAGAATCTCCTTTTGTCGTAAGCCCGCAACCCAATTCCGGGATTTGTTGATATTGAATAATTATTTTCCCTCGTCAGAACGATGACAACGACGACAGCGACCCGCAAGATGGGTTTGACTTGGCTTGTTGAAATTAATATTCTCTCTCTCTCATTTCGTAGGGATTGCTTATATCGTACACGCGAACCCTTGTAAATCGATCCCTCGTCGGCGGGGACATTACTTATTGCGTGTCTCTGAACGAGGTCCGCATTGAAATTCATTATTCATAACCGCATGATTTTGTAACTGTTGAGCAATGGTTGATTCTGGTATTCCTTTTTTTTTTTTCTGTACTCCACAGCAGCAAGGCCAACCTCCACCAGCATTGCGAAGAACTAGTCAGCAAATCGTAGCCAGACGAGCTAGCAATCGACGTAGAATCAAACTCAGTAGAACCGCCGGCCGGAGTTGCCGAACCGAAGTCGTCTCAACGGGACGAGTCGGTGGCCGCGACCACCAATGGAACGGCCATTACGACGGCCAGCACCGGTGTAGCCTCATCGTCGAGGGAGGAGCATTGCCGTCGTCATCGTTGTCGTCGTCGTCGTCGTCGTCGTCCCAACCGTTGTTTCGGTCCGGGAGCCGACTTAGGGGGAATAGCGATCCGCACTGTTTCCTCTCGGCACTATGCACCGCCTGCGCAACACCTTCACTAGGTCACGGACCCCCACTGGTGCGGAGATGAAAACACAGAGCAGTCTAGAAGTTCCCAAACAGGTAAATTTTTCCAGAAGATGACAGACTACAGTAGTTAACGATATGCTCGATTTATCCTTCAACAATTCAGGTTCGCTCAGCATCGTTTGACGAAATCCAGCTCGAAGCCCAGCGTGCCAATCAGTTCCTTAAGGTACAGCAAACATCATCGACTGACGACCCGGCGTCGGGTGGTTCCCTGCTGCAGGTCCCGCAAGTAACAGGACGTTCCCGTAGTTTTGACCTTGCTGGCGGTAGCGAAGAATCCCAAGCGGCCGTCGCAGCCGCCTTCTTAGACGTGCCAAAGCGCTTCCAACGGCGCAAGTCCAGCTCTAAAACCCCTCCGCCTTGTATCCACTGCCTGTACCTGGAAGAATACCGGAAGCTAACCGGGGTCGATCAACGCCAGTACTACGACAATACCGAATATCAAACGCTCAGTTACAGTTCGTCCTCTTCCAGTAGTGAAGAAGAGGAAACAGACGACGAGGAGGAGGAGGACGAAAACGACGACGAAGACGAAGACGATCGTGACTACGGGTTCCAATACGACGTAAAATGCATTACCCTGCTGCCACCACCCATCGCGTCCCCTTGTGGGATCATTTTCACCCTATCACCCACCAACGGAGATGACCCCGACGGCTTCAAAGGCGTGTTGGCACCGGACGGTCCCGTCCTGCCGCCGCCTCCGATGTTTGGAAACGACTACCCGCTTCTTCCACTTCTTCCGATCGGTTCGCCGCCGATCACTCCACTTGGACCCATATTCCCTCCGTCCCCGACGATCGAAGTGCCTCCTTGTTACCCTGCCGTGGACGAACCCAGTGGCAGTGGCCCCACGCGTACCCGGCGACGCTCCATCTCGCGCCAGGAAGCGATCTTTGTCGAACCTACCGGTAACTCGCTGGAGAACGTCTCCTGCACCGAACATCAACAACAACAACACCAAGATATTGTGAACATCATCGTCCCCAGCGGGGACGATGGCTACAGCAACGACTCCTCCGGTGGCCGCATCGATGATCACAACGAACAACCACCGGACTACAACAACGACAATCAACTGCAACAATCGGTAGTGGTGGCGCTGGCGCCTCCACCACCTCCAACTAGTACTGCGGCAGCCGACTTCGTGCGAGACATCTACCTACAGGTACCGGACCTGAAGCGAGATCGTGCGGCGTCGGTGGATTCCTGCTTCACCAAGGTGACCGGGGCCAAGACCGAAGAGCTGAAGCCCCCGGAAGGGGAGCTGACGCTGCTAGCGGTGCCTGGCAGCGGAGCAATTCGGTCTCGCTCGGTGGACATTGTGCTGCCGACCGAAGAGCAGGCACGCTACAAGGCACTGGCCCTAGCAGGTTCGGCGGCCACCGTGCCCATGGGCCTTAGTTCGAAAGGGTAAGATTATTTCGGAAAATTGTCCTTACTTGATCTGTTATTACACCGCATAACAGTCCCACGGTTCAACATAAGTAGGATTGCATAGAATATGGGACAATTATGCGTATAATGGCAGTGAACTTCAGGCACTTTGCGTCCATCGTGCGACTAGTTTCAGTTTGCATAGAAGTGTCATAAACGTTTATACCTCAATTGGATGTTGCTTTTAGGTTACAGTATTCTGTTTTTGTTTTTCATACTAACAAATTACATTTCATTATTTCGATATTCTTTTTACAGATCAGTGCATTCTCCAAAGTCTTCGGTTTGCATGCGCTCGTTTTGATTTATATTAAAATAATCCTAATGTATCATTTTCAATGTTGTTTCACTCCCGTAAACTTTTGTTGTTTTCTTTTCAGCTTCTACCTCGTCGGAGCAATCATGATCCAAGTTTTTGTGTTTTCCAATTTGCATTGTTTCACATTTTCCTACGATCGAGATACATTTTCATCTAATGACTTTTCCCGTTCTTTTTCTTCTTTCTCTTACGCCAATGCTTTTCGTCGGGAAACTTTCTGCTTCCGTCGCTGCCGCCACCAGGTAAGTGTATTTTAGAGACCAACTTTTGCGCTGCAATAAAACTACCGCAAACCCAACGAGCGAACGAGCGAGCGTAAGTTTTGTCTGTTCAGTTCCAGCGATTACCATAATCTCCTGGCATGTAGAACATGCGGAATCCTCTTCACTGTCGTCGTCGTCGTCGTCGTCGTGCTCCGAACCACTTTCGCCTTATAACCGAAAGCTTTTAGGTCGGTTGGTTTCTTGCGACTTCCGGTGATGGAGGGAGAGGTTGACCGAACGTCGTCATTCTCGTTGTCGTTATCGCGCCATTATCTGCTCACTTTTCATCGATGCCGGATGCCGGCTGATGGAAGAGGGAGGTGTCTTGTGGTTTATTGCTACCGCCACTCTGCTAGTTGGAGTTGATGCCAATGGAGCAAATTAGAATGGCACTTTATAGTGCGAGGAGGGGATCTCTCCTTTAGCTTGTTCTTCATGAACTTCTCTTTCTGCATTGGATTTTGATGTTCTTCATAGTACCGGTTATTCACATTACTTACTTACTCTTGTTTTCTGTATTTTGTGTGTGTGTGTTTGTATCGTGTAAGTTAATGAAACATTGCATTGAAAATTATTCTTGAAACGCATTTCAGCTTGATTGCATTCCAGGCATCAATGTCCATAGCTGATGGACTCACTTAATCCGGGTTTTCAAATACACATCATGTATATTCCTTATACAAAACGTTTCGATTCCCAATCGAATCCCAAAATCCATCCCGAGTAAAATCTAACGTTATCAATGACTCCAGTAGCTTTGAAAACCGACATCATGATGAACTAGGTTGCTTTGAAAATGTGTGTGAACTTAAATAATATTACGTTTACATCGAACCTTTCCGAACGAAACTGAAGCGATACATTTTCATTCGGGATGTCACAAACATGTCCGGAACTGGAACTGGAAACGACCAATTTTTCCATTCGAATGCTAATCCATCACTCCGAATCCAAGTCTGAAACGAGTGGAGTCCGATTTTGCTTTTAAATTTTTTTCTATTAAATCGAACTGTTGTTTGTGTTGGTTTGTTGCCCAGTTGATGTATTTTGCGTGTTCGATCGGAAGCTTCTACAGCGGTCGGAGATAAGTGCTTTATTCCGCCGGCACACTACCTAATCGATTTTGCTCCCCCAATCCCTGTTGGACAAGGATCGATTTGTTTCAGCGGGGACATTTGTGGCTTTCCTGAGGGGGGATTTGTCGATTAATTGAAATACTAATGGATCGCTGTTTTCAGCATTGAAACTAACTTGGGTCAAATTGATGAAACTAGATTTTCATTTGTTATTTAAATCTTCAGCAATATTCCGAACTCTGATATGGGCTATCGGTGGAACACCCTTGGTCAGCTCAGAAATATAATATGCTCTTTGAATAATCTTAAACACCTGGAAGACGAATCTCGACTTTTAGAGACGGTGTGGCTAGCCGCAATCTCGAATATTTGATGTTGATTTACAATTTTCTAAAAAACGGTTCGATTTGAGAATTTAGCAGTCTTTAGTTTAGTAGTTTCCCCAATTGAAGTGCCGCACAGTTGTCCAGAGCTGTGAAAAGATGGTCAAAAGTAATTATCTCGAGAATCTTGCATTTTAGATAAGTAGAGTCTTCGATTTTGAATATTAAATTTTAGAAACAAATCAATCAATCATTGATCTATCAATGTCTAACTTTTAGAAACATTCCCGAAGACACTACTTATCTAAAATGCAAGATTCACGAGATAATGAATGTTGATCGCCTTTTTACTGTTCTGGACCATTGTGTGTCGGTCCTCTCATCTATCTCCTAAGATAGCCCCCTTTTCGTCCGGTCACCTTTCGAGATCCAGAGCACTTGCCATTGCAGTGCTTTTCTCACGATCATTCACCGGCGACGGAGATTAAAACAACAATCCACTCCATGTACACATCCACGTCCAACCTGTTAAGAAATTGTAGTCCTTAACCTCGAGTAAGCTGCAAGTTTTCGACTCCAGTTCTACTAGCTTTAGTCATAAGAAATTTTGATAATGTACATTGAGTTACGGCTCTGCAAAGCTAACTCAATTGAGCCTTGAAAAATAAATGAATTAAAAAAAAAAATTAAATCCCAAATGTACTTTTCGAAAAAAAAAATAGCGGTAAGTTCCATGCCAATCTCTATTTTTACTACGTTTAATCACAGACAAACAGACGTTACTGTTTTCCTTAAATATTTTGTCACGGAACTCATTAACGACATATTTCATTTTATTCGCGAAAAAAAAAAGTTTGCTTATCAAGTCTCAAACAATTTTTTTTTTATAATTCGTTTATTTTTCCAGGCTCATTTGCTGTAGCTTTGCGGAGCCGATATTCATTGTTTAGATATGTCTCAAACAATGTTGCATAGAAGTTAGATAGAATGTCAAAGTGATCCGATGCCAGCGATGTGGTAGGGGATTTGCGAAACTACTTATACGACGATTGAGTAGAAAGAGCTGCGTCTGTTTGTCTGTGGCTTAATCCGCAATTTCAATCCCGAATGTAAATTTAATACACCGTATTCAAAAAAATCCTCGATTTTCGTATAGAACGCCGTCAAAAAATCTGCTCTCTCACACAAACATTTGAATAAGCAACTAATGCCATTATAATTGCTTACCGATTAACCGGTGGGGATTCCTAACGGTTTAGTTTAGTTTTCTTTATTAACGAGACCGCTACGATACCTAACTGAGAATCTTTACGTTCTACAGGGAGATTCCAGGCGTTCCCGATGAGAACTTTAGACGTTTCCGGTGAGGATTTCACCAGTTCCTGAAAGTGGTACCAGACATTCCCAATAGAGATTACAGACGTTCCTGACGGGTGCTACAGACATTCTCGATACATGGTATCTACTACCTTTATAAATTTGGAAATACCTGGAAAACCGGAAATCTTCAGGGAGAATTATCAGAGAATTTTGAAATTCTCGTATCAAGTTATTCATAAAAAATAGAATAGAATGTATTATAGTACGCTGAGGAATCTTTACAATAATTTCAAAACAGTTTAAAATACAACCAACTTTATGTTTCCCGTGATTCACTTTAACTCTTTGAACATAATAATTCTGGAGTGGATTTATCTTCAGTAACAACATAAATTCTGAAACTTAGGGTTCTGAATCATGAATAATTTCTACAAATTTTCAACTTATAAAAAGTTTGAAACCCTGGACCTAATGAAATCAGACGTGGAGATTTCTCCAAGAATCTGGAACGAAAATAAATATCCAAGAACCGGGTTTTAAAAAAGGCCTTGAAGAAGTTTCTCGGCTTATGGACTTTAATAAATTAATTTGATGAAAATTTCTTAGGAACTCTAGGGATGGTTTTAAGGAAATTCAGAAGGGGATTCCAAGTTATGAAAACTGAAAATCTGAGAATTCCTTTCAAGTTAGTTCTGTTGAAACGTAAGAGGAAGAATCCCAACGAAGTTCTGAGTGTAATTTCAACAGAATCCTGAGTAAGGAAATATTCAACAGAATTCTGATGATTCCAAAGTAATTTTAAGGGGAATTCCAAGACGGCTCTGTCCAAGGAATTTGTAAGGAGATCTTCAAGGTACCTGTGAATAGAATTCCAAGAGGAAAAGTAAAATCCAAAGGGAATTTTGGAAAGAATTCAAAGGAAAATTTAAGGATGATTGCAAAGAAATTCTAAGAAGTATTCCAAAGGAATTCTAAGGAAAGTTTCAAGGAAATGTCCAGCAAAGTTTTGAGGTAAAGTTCAAAGTATAACTTCGAAGAGTTTCAAAGATCTTCCTTTAATAATTTTAAGAGAAACCAAGGAAGATTGCCTATGGAATTCTGAGGAGCATTTCATGGAATTTATGGGATTGTTCTTGGTAAACACTGAGGACAGTTTATTTCAAGAGAATTCTTTGGGAATTCCTACGAACCTAATTTAGAATTTCTGAAAATTAAGAAACTGTAGAGTGAATAAAAAAGCCTTCTGGGCATAATTTATAGAGTATTATGGATCAAATTGTAAGGGCATACCAGAGAGAGTTCTAAGTCGAACTCTTGAGAAGATTCTAAGGAAATTCTAGATCACAAAGTATAAAAATATCAAAAATCTGAGACTTTGAGGCTTAGGGAAGTTCTCTTTATCCTGGATTAAGAAAAAATGAAATCTTTAGTGTAGTGTTTTTGTTGTTGAAATTCTGGGCTAATAAAATGAGAGACCACAGACCAATATTCGGGGCTTGAAAAAAAAATCCAAGATTCTGAACCATGAGAAGCTTTCAAGGCTCAAAACTAAATTTCAAGGTTCAAATATGGCTCTAATGTTGGGTAGCCTATGGATCTAAGATTGGGCCCATCGCTAAAAATCTGCTATTTCTCAATTTTATCTAGATTAACGCGTCATTGGGACGGTACTAAG